GGTATCACCCGGGCGCTGGAAGAACGGGACGTGGCGAAGAAAAAATTTTAGAGGGGAATAACTTTCTTGGGACGTATTTTTTTGACATGTTGAGGTAGATTTTGACTGTGCCTGAGGTGCGCTTCCAGAAAACTATAAGGATTGCCTAACTCTCCGTAAAGTATTTCTGTTAAAAATGGAAAACCCAAAATTCCTAGAAGGCGCGCCATCAGCTTTGAAGGCCCATAAAATCTTTCGTATGCGACATTTTGCAAATCTGTAAAAAGTTTCAGAAACTTCAAATGTTTCTCTAACAAAATAGTCTGGAAAGTTTAGTGATTGTCCCCTTTTTCAAAAAATTGTCCCGTTCGAACATTTTTCCGTGCAAAAGCGAGTTTTTGGGCTTTCAGCGACCATAACTCACTTCATTTTCATTTCTGTGATGCACTTTTTTCATGGGGTGAAAGTACAGGATTTGCTCTTTCTAACAAGCCCCAAACCGTTTTTCAAAGTTCATTTTTCGAGAAAATCACACGTTCGAACATTTTGGGGGGTTTTGCCGAACACTTTTTTTGAAATCGCGAGTTTTTGGGCTTTAAGCGGGCATAACTCACTTCATTTTCACTTCTGTGATGCACTTTTTTCATGGGTGAAGTGCAGGATTTGCTCTTTCTGACAAGCACCAAACCGTTTTTCAAAATCCATTTTCCGAGAAAATCACACGTTCGAACATTTTGTTCCCATAGGTTTTTGAGCAGCACATGCGAGTTTTTGAGCTTTCAGCAATAATAACTTCCTTCAAAGAACTTGTTGGGGAGGGGCGAAGACATTTTTGAAGACTACGAGATTTCTGCTTTCTTATGTGCTTTACCGTTGGTCTGGAAGAAGCGCTCTAAAAAATTTGGTCTTTGAAGAACTTCATTTTCAGCCCGGCTAGAAGTCTAAAACTTTCTATAAGGATGCTATCTCAACACTTGTCTTTATTCGTTAGGAAAACACCGTAATTTGCCTAAAACTGTCTCTCTGTGCATAATTAATCGAATCTAATGCGGTCTGCACAAACAATTCTTGCCCTCGGATACGCCACGCACGCGCCTGTGGCTGGCAGTCCTCGAAATTGCGACCCCCTTCCGACCAAAATGCGACCCCTTCGTTCGAACAGTTCGAACGGACGGTTGACCCTGGTCCGGGGGGCAGCGGGAGGGAGAGGGACCAAAAGAATCTGGACAAAGATATCACATTTTTGAGCACACGTCGTGGAGGATGGTGTGGGACGTACTGTGTAATGCGTTATATTGAACTTGACGCCTAACCGCTATAGTATGGAGTGCGACTCGTCCTCTGCCGCGCCTGCGTTTCTGACTTCGTCGCGCGACGGGGCCTCCTAGGGGGAACCCTAAGAGCGCGCCTTTCTAACGCCGAGGCCTTTTTTTCGCTTTCGCTGTGACGAAGTGACATGTTGCTGTGGACCACACTCAGTACCATGGCTTGGGACCATGATGTGCTCTTGTCATTTAGCCTTTTCCATATGAGTGCTTGAACATGGTCAAGCGAACCGTCGAGAAAATTTTGGAAATACGACCCCCCTCCCTCTCTCCGCCAGAGGCCGAAGTCCATGAAACGACCCTCTTCGAAAGTCGAAGTATAAAAAGGTTGTTAATGTGTACTCCCCTGAAACTATTCATAAAAAAGCCCTGCCCACCGACCAGCAAAAAATTCGCTCAGGAGTTACAAAAGTGGAAGAGTTCATGATCATCATTGATGAGTCCTACCTAATGAGCAAACGAGAAAAGGAGCAAAAAACGATAAACTAGTCACTAAAAATGGCATACCATGACAACATCTCTTCTTTATTTATTTCCTTCGAAAACTTACTTACCAAATTTTAGTACTACACAGAGTTGGTTCAATTTACACGTCCCCTTCAGTTGAAAGAAGCTTTTTAACCGCCTTCACCAGCTGTGCGTTGACTGGACTTTGGCGTTGACCGTGGAGCAGCTTATTTACTATTGAAATTTGAACAAATATTCAAATGATTATAACTTTCTTCAAATATGACGAATTTTCAATCTGAAAGCAGATTTGGGAAGTTTTGTGAAGAGCTTTTCTAATCAGTATTGAAATTACAAAAAGTTATAAGAAATAACAAATTTAGATCAATTAACGAGGAAAATTCATGACGAGCATGAGTTTTTACACTTTCTGAAGCCATAACTTGCTCCATTTCCGTCAATTCTGAAAAGTTGATATAACAGAAAGAAGATTTTCTCCTACTAAAGCAGCTTTGTACGTCCAGCATTTAAAAAATGGCCACGTTGAGGATTTTTGCAAAATTAACGAGGGAAATTCGTACGTCAAGGATTTTTGCCCGAGTACCGCCGAAAGGTACATTTTTGCTGCATTGGCACATCGGCATCCCGTACTTTTCTCTTTCCAAGAAATGTAAAAAGAAATGTTTAGCGTAGTTTAACTAACGATTACATGCTTATGAATTTGACGCTGAAGGCTGCGTTTCTTGTTGAATGGTGTACTCCTCCCTGTAATTTCACATGAACCCTTTCAGAATCCTCTTGATTTTTCCTGAATTGAGATTCTTTCTCCAGAGAGCCGTAGTTGAAGCGCGCGCAACCAACTGGGCCCACTCTGGGATGCGCCGTGTGCTTCACATCCCTTCAGATTCGAGGACTCACTTGAAAGATAAAATATCCCTTGGAAAACGTGCGAATTTCAGATTCTTTAACTTGTGTGGTGATAAAACACTGAAGTAACTAAGAATTGCTAAGCGGACACCTCTAATCACGAAGATTTTGTGTGGGGGAATATCATTGTTATTGGAAATCCTCTGGCCTGGCATCGACTCGATCCTTGATGTTTGTCCGACGATGATGATCCTACTGCATCAATCGGCCCGATCTCTTCCCCAGCGGGCCAATACGACCCCCCCCCCCCCTGTGACGTGTCGAGATTCCTCAACGCACGCTTGACCCTGGTGCTAAATTTTCAGAAACGTGTTTCTTAGGAACAAATACACAACAAAGAATTATTAAAAATATATTAACACTATAGCTTTTTAAAAGCATAACAATCTATACGACGAAATACTTACATTGAGATGAGAGAACTCAAATAAATCACACCGACTATGAAGGAAGCTGGAAACAGCAAAGCAGGGGCTAAAAGCGGGGCAAAAAGAACTCAGTAAGGAACGGAAAAGGAGGTCTATGCTGAAACACACGTTACACCCTGCTTAGACACTTTTGGTATTTCGGCACAAATAATCGATGAATGTATAGACATGGGCAGAATATAGCACAAATAATGCATAAAGGAAAAAAAATAAATCAGATCAATCGAAGGATTAGTGGGTAAAAAACTCGTAATGTCTCAACAGTATTTCAGGCGAAGCAATGATTGGTCTCGAACGAATCCATATATCACATGAAGAAAAATACCCGTTTATAAGCACCCCAGCCATGAATAGAAAGGAAGGAAATCGTGGAAAGCGACTGATGTGTGCAGGCAAGAATTAAAAAAGAAACTGGTCAAATTACAGCCGACGGCACTATACCGTACATATCCGAGTAGATCTGTGAGCCATCATCGCCACTCCCCGGCAGGGATGCCAGCCGGGTAGGCAGCGCGCTGTGCAGTAATTGCCAGAACAGGTGATCCTTCTGACGGATACAGGTGTTTTTTCGCAGAATTTGACCGAGTTCTTCATCTAGCAGATTCTGATCGACTCCTTCTCCCAATATCGCGATCACACGTTTCCCCCGATTCTTTGCGAACAGTTGATGCGATGTCTGAACAGGTGGTCATCATATTCAATAGCCCAAATGCATAGAGAAAATCCCTCACCTTCACTTGTAGAGTTTTCCACTCGCTTTCCAAAAAGTTCTTCGTCAGTACAATGACTAGGCACTGTGCGGCTTCCATCTGCGAGATGAGTTCATCGGAGATGGCATGAAGTCGGGAATTGTAGGCTGGACCATCACGGTGCAAGAGGCACAGTGCATATTCTTCATCCTCTAGCGGTCTTAAAAATTGACTAATTCGACAAGAAGAAATAATAACTCGCGCGCTTTCTGGCGCAACTGCTAAGATAGTCTAGAAGCATAAACACAGGTTAGCTAAATTCCCCTTAATCCATCCCATCCATAAATGCTATTACAGATGGTGAGTATTCCTGGGGCGCAGCTCAATTTTGCTGTTATTGTCATTATTTCTTATTGCACTAACAAATGATATATGACGAACATTGCACTCTTTCTAACACAGTCGATTTTCTGCAAGGATCAGTTTTTTGACAGATCGCTCGTGTTGCGCCATGCACTACTATCTCACCTGCATGGGATATTTTTATGTGCATGAACCAATACATTGTGACTGTAAGCTACACGATGTTCGAATTAGTCCATATTCTCATCTACGCCCTTTCGTTAGCTTGGGTTTACAAGTAAATGTTTGAAGTTATAAGGGAACTTCAAAAGCAGCATAGACATCATGTCTTGATGCGATTCGAATATGACACTAAAACTGCTGCTTTAAGTTTCTGATCCCCGGTATTTCAGGCAGTGAACACGCTGGCTGAAGGGTGGAGTGGTTGCGATGACGTCATTGGAGGATAAAACCCATCAGTGTGGTGGATGAGACGATCCGAAGCCTCTCTCACCAGTGAGACTCATGACGTCATCGTGTTATTAGAATCCCCCATTTCTAGGTGCAGTTTCAAGCATTGACTAAAGGCATTTCCTCAAACGAAAACTCCATTTCTGTTAATATTTCACTCATGAAGAGCTAATTTCCAAATAATTCGAATTAGTCACTTATATGGTCCACTCTTCCGGAACGTTTTTCCAGCACATTTTCTCATCTTTCTTGGAATAGCTCACAAAAGCGTCAAAATTCAACAATGGAATCGGCAGTGGAGAAGATCCTGGTGTTGATGAGCAGTTCAGCGACGAAGAGGCTTTGTATCTACAACAAAGCAACCGATGTTTCATAATACCAGTGGGGTTGGCTTACCCAACTAAAAAATGTCATGAAGTTAACCAACCTTCTTTGACTCATGTCATTGTGCGCTTTCCTGACCAACGAAATCCCAAGGAAAGTCATCGCGCACAGAGGAAAGCGCATGAAGTGAGAAAAATCACTGTTAGGATGGAATTTTGTGGCTCTTGTCCGAAAAATCCTGACGACAGTGGAACACAGATGGTCCGGTTAAAATCGCGGAGGAACTCTGTAAAAATAAAAATTACTCAAGTACCGCTCTAATGATTCCAAGTACATCAAATACTCACCGTCCATGGTCATCGTGAAAATGTCGTTTCCCACGTTTGGTGGATAAGCGGAAAGCACAGTGGTGTCGTTGTTTCGAAAAGCTTCCGTGATATTTTCCACACAACGCACACGATCCATGTCTACAACCTTGGCCCTATTCTGATGTATCCACGAAGGAGCCGCGAATCGCTGACTGCAATCGCAACGGAACGCATTTCCTGACAACGACAACGACCGCACTCCTGACGACATCAGTGCTTGTGACATTCCTGAGGTCATTTGTTGTGGCAGTATCTGAAAAAAAAAATTAAAAATGACGCTGTGGAAGAAAAGGTACGGAAGTTCAGCATTCAAAATGATCTACTAAGGCAGAATAAATAAATAATGAATAAATAAATAATTGAAGTGAGGTGAAGCCAATTACTATTCGAAAAGCTCCTTGCACCGCCGTAGAGCCATTCTGGAGTGAATTTAACGGTGAAGGCTCAGCGGCAAGTAAGTTAGTTCCAATGCGCATACGGTCAGCTTTTCAATACCGACTCGAATCTCGAAGGGCCGACTTAGCTTCTATCTCTCGTGGGTCGGAAAATTGGTGCCATATCCATAAGAAAAAGTAGAAACTACGCCTTTTGTATCGTCTAACAGCCACAGTTCATTGTATTCACCAAACAGCATTCTCTATCCTAACGAGCTTACGAAATCCATCTACAAATATCGAATGTTTTGAGTGTGGCGAGATGGCTATCGCAAAATACAGAGACATTGTGGCGGCATTGCATTCCGTATGAAATATTTGTAAAAACATACTGGAGCTAAGGCGAAAGAGGAAATTCGGAGCGAGAGCGATTTAATCCTCTCACGATTGGTCACCCGTAATATCTTAACGCAAATAATTTGTTGATGTAAGTTGAAGATTCTCTCCACAACATTTCTGACACCTCATTTTTAGTGTGGAGTCACTGCGATTCCAGTTAGTTTAGATTCCTTCTTAGAAAAATCAACTCTGAATTAAAATAAAGCCCCTCAAAACATGAACCGAAAATAAAGTTGCAAAGTGCGTCCTTGTTCAATCGGCACAATATTGAGATTGAAAATTTCTAGCTCTTAGTCAAGCGACAAGAATAGCACGCAGAAATGAGCGAGAAAACTGTCACCTTTTTCTTAGCCAAAATCATTTAATAATTATTGACCCCTTTAAACTACCGTTGTAAGAGCGGATTTTTTATGAGCCTCTTCATAGTCGTTTGCCGATTTCCATTGAGAAAAAGATGGGATATAGCGGCACTCTTGTGGAATTCATCTCCAGATAAACGAACTATAGCGTTGTCAGAAAGGTCAAGTAACTGAAAATTCTTCAATAAAAAAAGTTCTATAAACATAAACCATGGTAGCGCATGCAAATGTTACCTTCTTGAACGCAAATGTGCAGCATTCAATTCTGAATAAAATAGTGGAGAGCTAGTCAAGATTGAACCACCAAACTCGTGGGCATAGTCTGGAGGAATTCACGTTGCATCTCTTTGAAAAAGGCATATGACTTGAGCATTTGAACGTGTTGATAGGCTTTTGTTGGATACCGGACGCAATGCCGAAGCATTGATGGGAGAACTTCTAACGGGTCTCAAGGACGAATGCTTCTTAGATCGATGACGCGAAAGCAGAAGGTACACATGGGTGCTGAGAATCGTACAGCAGCTGGCGTGAAAACTGTCAAGTAATTAATGAAGTAATTGCCATCAATCTTTCACTTTTATTCACAGTGGAATGATGCTAATAACCCCAGGAAATCGCGCCACGGTCACATCTCATCGGATCCCCTATTGGCCTCAATGGAAGAGGTACTAGCGCTGTTCATAGTCTGATTCAGACAAAATATAAACCAAAGGATTTCCATGAGACCGATGAAAATACTAATCCTAAACGGCACAAATATGATTGACCTATTTCCATAGATTCATAGAAAAGAAAAATTCTTACCTTCATCTCGGACCCGGTCAAATTTTCACAGCGCACAACATTCGTTTCGAAAAGTGCGTCTCGAAAACACGCACAGCCAGCCGGACACACCGCTTTGCAGTCACAATTTCCAAACTGACAACAGACGCATCGTTCGCAAACTTAACAATTGCAATGTTACTGAGGTCGAACAGGGCATTAGAAACTCGGCCTGGAGGAACTAATGGAAACAAACTCGAAAATGACCAACCTGGGAGTAGTTGCAGAGGAGATCTTTTGTATCAACGGCGTCCAATGCAATCACCTTGCCATTTACGGGGTGCATGCAAAGCGTTTCTGACATGCCAACGACATTCACCTTTCTCTTTACCTGTAAGTTATACGATATACGAAAGGCTAGGAAAAAAAACGAAAAAAAAATTAAACAATGATAATTTAGGTGGACTAACCACTTCGGGTTTCTTTATCCAATGGAATTCACAACTGCAGCGCAAGGGATTTCCATGGAGGCTCACGTCTATGCTGTGCACTCCATCAGCTACAACTGATTCTTCAGACAGCTCTGTCAGATGATTATCACTGAGATCAAGTGACCGCATTGCCGTTTTTGAAGCGAACGTCGCTGGAGCAACGTGCTGAATGCGATTTGCCGTCAGATCTAACGTCTCGATCGTGTCCGGAATCTGATCAGCTGATAGTTGTTCAATTCGATTCCCACGCAACGACACAGTTCGAACTCTGGAACACCCGAATTTAGTTGCCATCTAGAACGATACGACATTACTTGCATTACAAGTACGGTGACTTTCGAAGGAGTGTAAAAAGCTTCTGACGTTGACAACCATTTTGGAATTTTTACACTATTCGTAACTACACACCTATTTAGCCCATCCTCCATGCGAACTGTTTGGGCCATTAAACGCACAAATAATTGCTTATCATTTTACACTAATCGAGCACCAACTGACCAATCCATGCTTGGTTGATTGAGTCGGTCAATTGGTACCCGATTACTGTAAGGCGCGGTCGAGCAAGATTGAATCCAGTCAAGATGATGCGCCTTTGTACATAGCAATGTAAAAAACCAGTCACCACATCACCACAACGCTATGTGACCATGAGATAGGGTTTTACAAACAGATGCTTAGGTAGACGTTAGGTACGCTAATAAGGTTAATCGAGAACAAACTTAGAAGAACAGACAACTCGAGGCTTAAAGAAGCGCAAAGCCGGGGAAACGTCGAAAGTAAAGGAGGTATATAGAGGGCGGATATGAGAGAGTCAAGAAGAAACTGATAGTCAGATGGAGCACAATTCCATTTGAATGGCTTTCTTATGAGCACAATAATGTAAATAGTTCGAAAAAAAATCCGAACTCTATAGTCTTCCTCATAATTTTCATCCAAAGAGGGTAACTCAAATCCACGAACATGCACTTACTTGGACTTCAGTGCAGCTCCCAAAAGAGTGATTATGTTCGAGTCTGCAATGAGATGTTCCAAACGCGGAGGAAGTTCGCTCCATTGCAGTAGCTCGAGATGGTTCCTAGACACATCGAGGCGTCGCACCGCGGATGCCTGGGCCAGAGCGTCTGCCAAACTTGCTGAATAATTCCAATTTAACCCTTCCACTCGAACTTGTGGAACTCTTTCCTTAGGATCTCATCACAAACCTAAGCGATTGTCCGATAAGTCTATCCGCTTCAGTTGAGGACACTTGGTCAGCGAGTCGTGGAACAGCTGTGAGATGTGGTTATGTTGAGAGATTCAGAGAATTCAAGTGAGCACAATCCGAAAACACGTATGGGCTGACCTGAAAAAAAGTAGCATTCCCTTTTTTTGAACTACACCTCTGGCTCTCAGATGGACCTTGGCCTAATCACGTCCCTGTTCAGTAGAACCTAATCGAATTTGCATTTTTCTCGCGCGAATACTCACCGATGACAACTCGTTATGGTTGAGGTCGATGTTGTGAAGATGTGAGATCTTGTTGAACACGAACTGGGGCAATTTTCTGAAACAGAATCATAAATGTTTCCCTGAATCGACAAACTAAAACTGTCCTTTCATCCACGCGATTAATCCGCGTCTTTCCTCTAGGGAATGTGTGAAATTTCAAAAGTTATTGACACATGCCATAGCTTTGCTAACATAAACGACATGTTGCACGGATGAGATCTGTGGTCTTTGTTTATTTCACACGAAGAATTGTAAACAACTTACTTGATTTTGTTGTGACTAAGATCGATCTTCTTCAGTTTAAATAAACGAGCGATTGCAATAGGAACTTCCGTGAGACGATTGTGTGATAGATCGATTTCTCCTTAAAAAAGTAAGCTATGCCAAAGTTACAAAACCTCCCAGGATTGAACCTATCCAAAAAAAAGCCCACGAGCACTACAGCAGCGATATGCAAAACTCGAAAACCTGGTATAAAGTCTGAAAATAAGGGTCCAGACCCTGCTGGCATTTGTATGCATGAAACTTTCCAAACTCTCAGAACTCGATAAATTCTCCTATACGGAAATGACCTGCCCATTTTCCACTATGGGGCACACTGAGGACAGCGTGATTCAATACTGGGTCACGCTTTCACCTCGCTACGCTTAGTAATTGGCTTTTCTCACGATTCTGAATTGTTTGATACAAAAACATAAAAAGGATGCCGATATTCACGCGCAATGGTGGTCACCGACGTGTACGGTATTACGATAGATTACTTTAGGTTGGTAATTATTGCCAACTTTTCCTCTGGAAATTAAGCAGGCCGAAAGTTCTTCGACTAATGTAATCCACAACAAAATACACGCTAAGCACCTCTAAAGCAGACTAAAGAGGGAGGGGAAGGAGGAACGTAACTCAGGCAAGAATTGCGAATTTTTCCGAACTTCTCAAATACTGCAGAAATTTCTTCCCCCTCCACCCCCAACACCTGCTAAAAACTCACCAAATAAGATTTTTTCGCTTCAGAAAAACCATGACCTCTCGCCAAACTGAATACCTAACTGTTATGTGGAGAAGTTTCCGTTCTGGTAATATAGCGGGGAAACAACTTATAAACGTTTTCTTTGTAGACAGCGAACGACTTATGTGGTATTGGCCCTTTAACAAAATACCGTTTCTTTCCTGATTAGAGTTTTAATGAAATTTATATTAACTCGTACACTATAAATGTTTGTTGTGGAAATCTATCATAGAAGATGATATGATATTATAAAATCATTACCAATAGCCAGGTCCGCGAAGACAGCCGGCTCCAACAGCTCGATAGAATTATTCGCCAGTCCAAGAGATGACAATTCATGAAGCGCAGCGAACACATCATCTCGAAGTCGTTCGAGGCGGTTCGAGACCAGATTCAGCTGAAATTACCTCCATAAACTCTTCCTTCACCTACAATGCACACCCACTGATCCGCAATCCAA